AGTGCCGTACCAGGTCGTTGATTCCACCACGTGAATAATTATTTACCATTATTATATCAGATTGGAAGTAATCAACTGATGACTGACGGGTTTTGCCTAATCTATTATTTCTTCTTGTTCTTCTTCTTTGAGTTTTTATTTTTGTGATAATAATGGAGACCCAAGGATATTTTATCAATAACTATCGCAATAATAACAATACCAATAATTATCATTACTTAGTAATTATATAATACATTATTGTTTTAACAATAAAATAGTGAAGTTTGAAGTGATAATAATAATAATAATAATAATAATAATAATAATAATAATAATAGATAGTTTGTCTGTGAAAAATGGTTGCGTTTTTATAACAATTAAATGGGAAATTTGAATCCTGTTATAAATGTGAGTTTTATAATAATATTTTTTTATTATTGTAAAAAATTGTTCGCTCCAAGTTTATTGAATCTTATTAATATTTGTTTTAGATTGTTAATTAATTATAAAAAGAATGATATGTTAATTAATAGTAAAGGTAAATTAGAGTGAATTTGGCTCTGAGTAAAATCTAGTGAGTCTGATTCTGATGTCTCACCTGGGGAAATTCCAGCTCGGTCGGTCGGTCGGTCGGTCGGTCACATTACCAAGTAGCGATGAAAATTCCCCAAAGTTGTTGTGTGAGCACCCGGCCGCCGCCTGCAACCCGTAAAATCGATTCTAGATTTGGAAACTATAAAAAATTAAAATTTATTAATTGTTATATATTTAAAAATGACACCGGTTTTTTGTTTTTTAATTTAATAACAGATAAACGTATAAAAGACAATTCTAACGGTGTATGAGATTAAAATAAAAAATAAAAAAAATAATTGGCTGGTATTTGCTGTTGCTATAAGATTAGAGAAAAGTTAAATAATAAATAAACTAATAATTACAAACAATGAAAGTGGGTATCAAAGTGAAATATTAAACGTTACGATATAAGATATAAGATATAGGATATGGTATATGGTATATGAAATGTGAGGGCTTGTATCCTTATTATGAATCAAGATCCAAAATAATAACACAACATTTCATTCATCCTATCGATCCATCCGTCCTTTAATATGATTAATTAGATTACAATATTATTGTTATGATAAGTAATAAGTAATAACACTCGGGATTGTTATCTTATTGAGACTAAAAATATAATTTTCAAGTGTTGCGTATGGGTGATGTTATATATATATATATATATATATATATATATATATATATATATATATATATATTTGTTCGTAAGTAGGTGGATTCATTGAGAATTCATTATAGTAGTAGCTATAGTGGTTATAGGTTATTATAAGGGAGAATGAAAAATAAAAATAGGCCCGCGTGGACTTTAACGATCAAGTAGTAAAAGCATTCGCTTGGCCAGACAGCTTGGCGTCCAATCATTTCACTTAACTCTATCTATCTATCTATTATATGTACATATACTCTTTTACTTAGTTTTTTTTTTTTTTTTTATTTTTATCAATATTGCACCAACTCTAACCCAGAATTCTTTTATCAATATATCTCAATATTTATTTTATTTTATCTCATTATTATTATAAAAATAAAAATTAGTCCGTTAACTTTCAAGACAGTTTAATTATTTACTGTCAATTATAATACAGCTCATTAAATTTTTTGAAACTTACTAATTGTAATTAATGGTGATTATCATTTTAAATTAAAATTTGGTACTTGAAAAGGGAAATAGAAAAAAAAAAAAAAAAAATAGAGAAGATAAAAAAAAAGCGCAACGTGTCACGTAGTCCCATCATCTTGAGGTCACAAGTATGCGGAACGTGATTAAGATGAAAGTGAAAAAAAAAGATAGTTAGCATTGAGACTGTTTCAAAGATATATATTTATCTTTGGTACCTTTATCAAGACAGTAAACCAACGGTGAAACGTATCGGCTAGGTAATAAAAATTTTATATTAATACATGTGTACGGGTTCGACGCTGAATGATAAAACGCTAAATTATTGGGTTTAACTCTATAGACGGTCTATAATACTTGTATTGTAACTGGTCTCATTATAAAATATAGTCAACTAAAGGGTAGTGGGAGTGGTTGAGTTGAGGGGCTACAAGGGAGTTAAGGGGGTGTAGCGATGGACGCGCGCGAAAAATACGCTTAGCGCTCAAAGCTCGACTACGCTCGACGGTCGATACTCGACTTGCAGCACATGAGCCAAGTGTAACCTCTATTGCTTGTAATATAAGGTACTTTTTAATTTTTAAGTATCCTCCTATCCTTTTTATTATTTCATTTTCAGTCAACCACTTTGGCAATTAAATTTATGTTTCATTTTATCAATTAAACATATTTAATATTCAATAAAAAAAAATAATAAACAACCAAACAAAGATAATAGAGCAAGTTAATAATAATAATAATAATAATAATAATAATAATAATAATAATAGTTGTTACTAAATGTAACTTAAATCGATGATTTAGTTGTAAAACTATGGAGGGTGAATTTATAAACTTATTCACTATGCTGACAGTATAGAGAGGGTCAGGTCAGCCACCCTATTTTCCTTTTATTCGATTTATAAAACAACAAAAAATCTTGTTTAGTTATTTTATTTTTATCACACTTTTAACAATTTATTTAGTAGTAATAATAATAATAATAATAATAATAATAATATTATTATTATTAATTAATTAGAATGATTATTAGTAGTTAACAATAGTTTGTTAATTGCTCTGCAAATTCAAGAACGCGTCAATTCAAGTCAAGTGCAGTTTAAAGAGTTGAAAAGAAATAAAATGAGAGAGAAAAAAAGAGACACTTGAACAAATGATTTTTAAATGAAACTTTAAAGTCTAACGGTTCAAATTAATTCTTTTATTATTATTATTATTATTATTATTATTATTATTATTATTATTATTATTATTATTATTATTAGTGAATTAAAAAGGTAATCTTGTAATAGAATGATGAAAGAAAAAGAGACAAATGTTGTATTGACAACAAATGTGCAAATGACAACATAGTATTGATTGTCATGTGGTATTTTTCAACGACCCTGACGTGTCACAATGAGGGTCAAGTTGTTACTAATCATCGATCTAAATAAATGTTTAATCGTGCTTAGCTTAATAAATATTACGATTTACTAATTAATTAATTAAATAATACATCACTAAAGAAACAATATAAAAAATACTAATTTTTTTAATCGACAGCGATTCATTTAGAAAAGAAAAGTAAACAGACTAACTTCTCATTGCGTATTATGTTTTTGATATAAATAAAATATTATCTGTATAGACTATACATATAATATAATAGCAGAATGTCAAATAGATTTATATATTTTATTGTATAGGGATTAATTGTCTAAGTGATTTGAGAGGAGATTTGTATGGTATAGTTAAATTAGTAGACGAATCCGTATAAATTGGTTACCTGATGCATTTATTTTTTTTATTCGGATCACAACCCCTCGTTTACGTTTTACCTTTATTTGTAATTTTTATTTTATAAATTGTTTTAAAATTCGAAACATAAAATTCTATTTAAAGTAACATTGTAATATTGTATATGGAATTTAAATAATTTAAAATATTATTAAATTTGTTACAGATATTGAGATAAGAAAATATAGAACAGAATGGGCTCTTGTGGGGTGTATTTTTCTCAACTCCGAGCTATGCTCAGGAGGAATTTACTGCTCAAGAAACGGGAAAAACGAAAGACTATTGCCGTAAGTAAATACTTGATGCTATTATTATTATTATTATTATTATTATTTATAATAAGTACTGTTAATAAAATTTTTATTTAATTATTGAATAAATAAATTAAGTAAGAATTATTTGTTTTTTTATCAGGCTTTAAGTCTATTAAAGTGAATAGAAACTGAATAAAATATAAAAATATGTGCATTAAAAAGTAGAGTAGACGCATAACAATATACTGTCAGCAGCTCTGTATAAGGTTTACGTATAAGGTTTATCTATAACAAAACCAGAAGACACACATGTGATTATTAGCTAGCATATTGGCTTGTGTCACTTTTAACAATTATAATATTCGATTAACGTGACAAGATTCTCATCAGCTCTGAAAAAGAGATTTAACATTACTTTTGTATTTTTTCTGAATTTTAACAATCTAACAATCTCTCATTGAGTAGTTAAATTATTTTTAAAAACAATTTTATTGTTATTATTCTGAAATTTATTAAATTTAAAGATAGTTTAACAAGCAAGTGAAGGGAAAAAATTTAAGACTCGATGAGTGGCCATGGCTGCAGCCACCAGGATATTGTGCCAAGATATACGTTACACAATGCCAATTTATTAAATATTTTAAATATTTTTGGTGCCAATTAGGCCAAGAGTCAAATTTCATTTTTTATTTATTTAAAAATAATAATTGTAATTATTTTTTTCTAGAGTTTCTTTGTTTATTATCGCGAGTTTTAAAAATAGAAGGATCAATAGTATTATAAGGAGCATCTTTAAATATTGTAGCAGAAATAGTTTCGGTGGTTTGTTTTTCTCTTTCTTCTCTTTCTTCTCTTTCTTCTCTTTCTCCACCGGTAGGTAATAAATGAGGTCCAACTAAATAGTAGGTTTGTTCAACCCACGTAGGTAGATCGAGTCCAGCCACACAGTATTGCCAGAGAGGTAATCCCAAGTGTACCAACATCATTCTAAAGTACTTGATAAAAGTGTCCGATAGGTGATACCAGTTTCCACCGGCATTGTCATCGTTATAGAGCCAAATCCCGGGTTCTGCATCCCAATCCGGTCTAATGTGATAAACCAAAAAAATTTTAGCTATTCCACCACATTGATCTATTTCAAAAAGTTTGCATCGGCCACCCAATGACGGAATAATCTCACTATCATCTTGTGATTTCGATTCAATTTCAGTCTGTTGCTGTTGCTCTTTGCTTCCGATAAATCTTTTCAATCCAGCAAATTCATTTATCGTCATCCTACCGACAGGAAACTCTTCACCTAGTCATTATAAAAACTTTTATTTTTATTTTAATTATTTTTATTAAGATATTTGTTTAATTACCAGCAATATCAAGACTCCAATTGAGTGAAAACCCATCAGTTGAAGCGTAGAAACGTTTTAAATCATCTGGTAACAAACAGCAGTGTCTCTGCTCCCAACTCGAAATGGCACTTCTCTCACAAGCACTTTGTCTTTCAACTTTAACATTTTTAACACATGGGCTCGCTTCAAGTAATTTAACAACCCCGAGTGTTAGATTTTCGTAAAATGAATCTTCTGTTACAATGTCGACAAAAAATGACATTTTAATAAACACTAACCAAATTTCGTTATTTCGTTGTTGTTGTTGTTGTTGTTGTTGATCTTCATAGCAACGCCCAAGGCTATACATACATACTGCAACCACCGCTTGAATCTCTACTAATACATATAGATATTTATAAATTTATAAATACTTGGATATACAGAGAACACTAACTGTTGGTTGTTTTGCTTAAAATTTAATTTTAAAATTTAAATTTAAAATTATGTTTAATATTAATAAAATTTTATTTATTACAGGAAGTATTTTTACCATTGTACATCTTGGGTAATCTAATAGTACTGAAAGTGTTGATACCAAATCCAAATTATCCAGCAATGCCTGCACAACGGCAAGACGGCAATATATTTGAGTTTTTAAATGGCTATAAGAACAATACCATTGCCGTTGTTCCAAATTCCACTGAAACTCTTGTAAGTTTTATTTTTATTTTATTATTAACTTTTATACTCTGCAAAAATATAAAATTGTAAATATGATGCAGCAACTCGTGAGCTGCCTTAAATACCATAAATATCATAATTACCGCTCACAACTCCAGAGTTCTCTTGGCGTAAAAAAGTACCAAATGCTTTTGCGGGATTTAGCAAGACACACTACAGAAGGCTTTGCAATCACCTCTCTTGGGCAAAGATTCTGCTGAGACTTTTTGATGCCACCGCTGCTTTTACTGGCAATTTTTTTTTTTTTTTTTCCTATACACCAAAAGCTACTCTTCTTTTTATTGCACCAGCTCAATAATATCTTTCATAATATTGATCTATATATAATGTATACCTTTATATAGGTATATATATAGATCGGCTTTCATGGCTCAACTTGTTAAAAACTCGATATATATCGAGAATGCCTTTCGTCATTCAACTTTTAAGCTCTATAAAATATATGACAATGTCCATACAACTCACATATCCATTTTATTGTCATTATTATTATTATTATTATTATTGTTGTTGTTGTTGTTGTTGTTGTTATGTAGAATTTTCTGACTGCGATGAACAACTTGTGGTTATCAATGTGGGAGTACCCGGGTAAGCTGCCGTTAAATTTCATGGTATTTGAAACGACTGGCGATTTGCAGGCGGCCTATTGGCGTGAACCCCACAGCGTACCTCTGGCTGTTATCTTTGAGGATCCACAGCCGATAACCCACAGTCTCTTGTGAGTTGTATTTTATTATCTAATATTATATCTTATTTAGTTGGCAGAAAAATAATAATAATAATAATAATAATAATGTTACAGATATGAAATTAGAACAAATCCGTCATTTTACGCAACTCCGTCGCCAAAAGAATTTTATTCTTCAGCAGTGACCTGTCGTAAAGATACAAGCCACTGGGTAGGTGGTTTACTGTCAATAGAAACAGGAGGATCATGTCCAATAAATAATTATTTTCATTCGGGTTTTATGGCTCTTCAAATGCTGATGGACATTACTAAAATCAGAATAGATACCGGTAATACAGAAATTACATTACCTGATATTAAATTTAAAATGTTTCCAAAGGAAGCATATACAGCCCATTGGATGTTAGCCTTCAGAGTTGTGATACCATTGTACATGATACTAGCCCTCTCTCAATTTATAACATATCTTCTTATTTTAATAGTCGGAGAAAAGGAGAAAAAAATAAAAGAGGGAATGAAGATAATGGGTCTAAAGGATTCAATATTTTGGATGTCATGGTTTTTAATATATGCAATATTTGTATTAATATTATCAGCTGTTGCTGTAATATTGATATTTACACTCCAAATGTTTCAACATACCCACTTTTTACCAATATTTTTACTAGTTGTACTCTACAGTTTTTCTGTTATTATGTTTTCATTTATGATTACACCATTTTTTGATCAATCACGAACAGCCGGAGTTTTGGGTAATTTTGCAGTAACAATGTTAAGTTTCATGTACTTTATTCAAGTATTTGTTGATGATCCAACATCAATATCATTTTGGGTAGTATCTTTATTGAGTCCTGCGTGTGCTGCACTTGCAATGGATAAAGCATTGGTATTTGATTTAAAAGGAGAGGGTGTTAATTTTGATAATTTATGGGCAGGACCTGGTATACCATTTGGAGGTAATTTATTATTTATTATTAATGTATTGTTTATTTATATATATATATATATATATATATATATATATATATATAT